CATTTCAGCCATTATTATTATTTTTGACTAGTATTTACTTTCATCTTCATTTTTTATTAGATGAAACATTTTCAAACATTATTATTAATTTTTGACTAGTATTTACTTTCATCTTCATTTTTTATTAGATGAAAACATTGTCAAAATTATTATTAATTTTTGACTAGTATTTACTTTCATCTTCATTTTTTATTAGATGAAGCATTGTCAGCCATTATTAATAATTTTTGACTAGTATTTACTTTCATCTTCATTTTTTATTAGATGAAGCATTGTCATCCAGTATTCTTAATTTTTGACTAGTATTTACTTTCATCTTCATTTCTTATTAGATGAAGTATTTCACCCATGATTATTAGTTTTTGACTAGCATTTACTTTCATCTTCATTTTTTATTGTATGAAGCATTGTCAGCCATTATTATTAATATGTGACTAGTATCTACTTTCATCTGCATTTTTTTATTAGATCAAGTAGTTCAGCCATCATTTTTATTTTTGTGTAGTATTTACTTTCGATTTCATTTCATATTAGATGAAGTATTTTCAACCATTATTACTCGTTTTTTATTGTTTTGCCACAGATAATAGAAAAATTTATTTGATAAAAAAAAAAAATTATTTTCATTTTTTTCATGAGGAACTGACTGAACACATTTTCTTATTTAATAAAAAATTCTACCGAAACGTTAAAAATTATTTTCTTCTATGATTTATGTTAATTGTTTCTTCGCTTTACAACATTTCGTTAGAAGAAGATTTTTATTGGAACAGACTATTTTCGAATCATGGATGGCGAAAGTGTATCTTGTGTGTGTGTGTCTCTATGATGCCTACTCCAAAATGATCATCAGACTCGCATTCATATTGCAATAATGGCGAATCCTAAATTTCTTTTCATCTTCTCTTCCTTGAAGCATTCCCTTCTTGGAACAAGAAGGTCGTAACCTGATGACTGTTGTTCAGTGAAAGCTTGGAAGACGTGCCTGAATCTTCTCAAACGACACGCCCATTCCTTTATACTCCTGCTGCTTTCTCTCAGCTCACGTCTTTTTTCGCGCTTTCCGCTATAGGCAACACTGTCCACTCCACATCATAAAGAGAGAGGGCGATATCAACTTGTCTTCATTCCTTCAAACCGCACGTGTCACTACCAGATATTCCAACAAATGGTCGCTTTTATCGTAAATAATTTGATAGAGCCTTTAAAAAAATTTTTTTCCTATTCTGTCTATACGCAAATATTTGACGAACGAAACAACGACGCATTTCCTCGTTTCAAATTTTATGCCACATCTAATTAACTTATTTGATCTTGTTTCTTGAGACTAATATCCCCATCTTCCTCATTTGACTTAAAGGTTTTCTTTGGTGAACACTACGGGCTTTTTCGTAGCTTATAAAATGTCTAAAAGGAATTATTATTACTCGAAAAACCCGTGAAATTTCACGGTTTTTCTATTTGAATATTCTGATGAATGTTAATGCTTGAATAAGCCCATAGTGAGCTCTAGGGGGATTAAAATATCTGTAGAAATTTACCTATCACATCGTTAAATATTTAAGGTTGACAAATGTAATGTCATAATGCAATGACAATCATAAATACGAATTCTACTCGTTATCGTTGTAAGTGAATACAAATGGAAAGATTTAAAATTTGAAACTTTTCTCATTTTACTGAAACAGCCATTAAACACTTCTGGGCTTTGACACTTTCTTTTTTTTTCTTTTTTTTTTATTTTAATGTTTCTTTATGTCTTTTTTTTCTTCCATACGACCAAAACGGAAATACCATTATTTATGAGGTACCTGGCAGGAGACGTTAGACGGTTCTATTTTACTTTTCTTTCATTCATTCATTCTTTCTTTCTTTCATTGAAACTTTTTCTTTTTTGTTTTTTTTTTTTTTTCTTTTTTTTTCTTTCTTTTCTTTTTTTTTTTTTTCTTTTCTTTTTTTTTTCTTTCTTTTTTCGAAACTTTTCTTTTTTTTATTTCTGCCTGTTTTTTTTTTTTTTTTTTTTTTTTTTTTTTAAAAAAAATTTTTTTTTTTTTTTTTTTCTTTATTTCTTTTCTTTTTTTCGAAACTTTTTAATCTTTTTTTTCAAATTTTTTCTTCCTTTTTTCTTTTTTTTTCTTTTTTCTTTTTCATTTTTTTTTTTTTTTTCTTTAAATTTTATTCTGCCTTTTTTCTTTCATTTATTTTTTTTTTTTTCGAAACTTTTTCCTTTTTTTTTATGATTTATGTTTTTTAGGTTTCTTTCTTTCTTTCTTTCTTTCTTTTAAAAGACATTTTGATGAGCATGCAGTCTCATTCTTTCTTTGCTAATTCCTGCCTAAAATTTTTTATTATTTTCCACAATCCTTTTTTCCTTACATTTGTTTGTTTTTTGTCCTTTTTTCTTTTTTTTCTTTTCTTCTTTATTTTTATTCTTTCTTTCTTTCTTTCTTTCTTTCTTTCTTCGAAACTTTTTCCTCCTTTTATGCTGCCTTTTTCTTTCTTTCTTTCTTTCTTTCTTTAGAAACATTTTCCTCCTTTCATGCAGTCTCTTTCTTTCTTTGCTAATTCCTGCCTAATATTTTATTATTTTCCACAATCCTTTTTCCCTTACATTTGTTTGTTTTTGTCCTTTTCTTTCTTTCTTTCTTTCTTTCTTTCTTTCTTTCTTTCTTTCTTTCTTTCTTTCTTTCTTTCTTTCTTTCTTTATTTATTTATTTATTTATTTATTTCTTCGAAACTTTTTCCTCCTTTTATGCTGCCTGTTTTCTTTCTTTCTTATTATCACTGAAACCAAGTAGTTTCTTTTCCACTCCTTCCACGTGATTAAAATGGTATAGTCCATTATTTATGAGATATTGGCAGGGTGTAATGGTCGTACGAACGAACCAGGGGGGGCATTTGCATAGAATAGGGTTGTATGAATTATTTATACTTCATCGTCATTTTTACTTATTTAAAACCAAAATGTCCCCTAATCTGTCTCACTTCCCTTTCTCGTGTATCCCTACACTTGTTCTTGACCTATCAGCCAATCTAGTACTGCACTTAAAGAAAGTCGTAAAGTCTATGTAACATAGAGGAAAGTTCATCAGAATAATTGTCCTGAAATTATTTATAGCAAAGGAATGGGGAAACTGCATTACGGCTGAACCCGAGATGCCAGGTCAGCGCCAATAACATTGCAGATACTTCTTTAGATTTTATCAAGAATCTCTAAATGTATCATCATCATCATCATCATCGCCATCATCGCCATCATCATCATCATCATCATCATCATCGCCATCATCATCATCATCATCCTTCGACCTCCCTGTGGTTTGTCGGAACTCCATTGACAATCCCTTTTCACATTCTTCAGTCCTGTATTGCTGTCCCCAGATCCTCAATGTCCAACCCTGAATCCCGAGCTATGGAGTCTGGGAAACTCACCTTTTGTGAGAAGGCACTTCCCGAAGGCTGCCATAGGAGTAAGGATGAGATGATTTCCCTGTCCGTACCGTGGCAGTGGCTGACAAACTCATCTCTCTTACACTCTCTCTTTACGCATATATTTGAGGATCACATTAAAAATAAGTAGACAAAACTTATCTAAATTATTTAATGAAACATGACTTAATGAAAATATTCTACCAAAACATAAGCAATATATATATTTCTATGTTTATACATTCTTTTAATACATACAAATATTTAAGTAAATGCTCTGTTTATAATAAACAGTATTAAATAACATTTACCGACCTTAATGTCCGAGAAATTTTCATCGAAAATATTCATCCTCCGACAGTAATCGAACCTATATCCTATAGGGAACCGTCGTATAGCCTGACGTGCATTTAACCGATTTGGCCACAGTGGAGCGTTCTGTTAGCAAGGTCGATTTTACTGTCTTTAAACTACAATCTTCCATGATTCTCTCACGTACATTCATATCTGCTCATGGCGTATCCAAATGTAAACAAATGACGTCACACATTATATATATATATATATATATATATATATATATATATATATATATATATATTACATTAACCAGCCTTACAATACATAAATTTCTTAGTACATTTCATAATATATATATATATATATATATATATATATATATATATATATATATATATATATATTATGAAATGCTCTTTAGAAATTTTCAGATAGGATATTCAGGCTGGTAAATGTAATTAATACTGTTTATTATAAACAGAATATTTAAATAATTGCATTTACAAAATTGACGTATAAACAATATATATATATATATATATATATATATATATATATATATATATATATACACACATGGTGGTGGGTGAGAGAAAGAGAGAGAGAAAGAATGTGGATACTTTTGTGGATATGATTGGTAAGTAAGACATTGACAAAGACTGGCTCAACCTACATGTTGCAAAATGGAAAAGAGCTGTTGATTGAAAAGTGTTTTAAGCAGAAAAAAAAATTACATTTTCAAATATTTTTGCTGGATAAAAAAACACGTTGAAAAATTTATTTCGAAAGTGAGAAATAGTCATTCATTTTGGTAAACGCAAAGAAAAGAAGAAAAAGAAAAAAGCAAATAATTATTGCAGAAAACTGCTCGAAGCTAATTTCCCTCTCTTCAGAAAATTGGAAATTAAATTTGGCGCAGATAAATTTGGAATAAATCGTAACAGACACACCGCGAATTCTTTTCTTTTTTGGTCTCGTCTTTTTTTTATTTTTTTTATTCCATTCCATTTAGTTCTACTGTATGTTTTACGCGTTTAAACAGAACTTGTTTTTTTATTTCCCCAAAGATGGTAATATTTTTTTTTTATTGTAATGAAGTATTTTCCTGTTGCACGTCTGCTTAGAAGCCGTCGGGATTTTAACAAAACGAAATGAATGTTGATTGCGTCATCGTCACATGACGTGAATAATAATGTTCACACAAATAAGAAAAATCTTTCCATGAGGTTAGAAAATACAACCTTGAACCGAAAACAACATCTGTACTTATGGTCATATCGGGCCTCATCCTATCACCGAAGTTAAGCAACGTCGAGCCTGACCAGTACCTAGATTTGTGAACGCTTGGGAATACTAGTTGCTGTAAGTTTGAATATGAGGATTGTACAATGGGCAACTTCGAGCCTGGCTAGTACCTAGATGGGTGACCGCTTGGAAATACCATTTGCTGGTATATATATCAAGCTGAAACACCAGTTCGCGCATTATCACCGAAGTTAAGCAAAGTCGTGTATGGTCAGAACCGAGATGGGTGACCGCTTGCGAATACCATTTGCTGTAAGCTTGGATGTGAGGGTGATATAATGTGCTTACGGTCATATCAAGTTGAAACCGCGGTTCCCGTATTATCACCAAAGTTAAGAAACGTCGAACCTGGCCAGTACCTAGATGAGTGACCGCTTGGGAATACCAGTTGGTGTAAACTTGCGTGTGATGATGGCGTAATGGGTTTACGTCCATATCAAGTTAAAACACCGATTCTTCCCCGATCATAGGATTTAAGCAACGTTGAGCTTAGTCAGTAGATAGATGGGTGACCGCTCAGGAATATCAGTTGCTGTGAGCATTCAATGTGCAGGTGGTGTGATGGATAACGACTTGGGATGAGAAATCGGAGTGCTGAGTTCGAATTCCAATCAGGTTCGTTATATTCACTTACGTGTAAATACCCTTGGGAAAGGTATCAATGTACCTCTTTTCCTTCCAGCTATGGGTTAAATAGTAGGAGATGTATCGGAAAATCATTAGTTTCCCAAAAACATTCTTACAATGCAAAATATTTTGCGGCTTTAAATAAACTTAGAAGGGTTGATAAGCCGTAAAAAATCAAATCAATAAAAAAAAATATCCTTTAAAATTACTAATTTTTGGAAGAACTAGGACCAGTGCAAGAGTATCGTACCCCTGTAGAATATATGATATGACCCCTAATCTAGTACATATGAATTCTACCTCATGAAAATTGAAATTTCATAAGGTAGTATAAATATAAAATGCAAAATTTGTTATGAACTAATCATGTATAATAATGAATCATATACGATATAGGTGAATAGTTCGATTAGAAAACAGGAAAATAAATCCAAATTAGAGACATGTCATAAGAGATCGTTCCATCTCAATCTATAAAAGGCAGGACGTGTGTGTGTGTGTGTGTGTGTGTGTGTGTAACGAATGCACGGACGCAATTTTTGACGCATTTGCACCAAAATTTACATGCACATGCTCCAAGTTAGCGGAAAGGCCAAGACCGAATTTGTATGTCCCAACTCCAATCGATAGTGGAAATAATCGATTTTTTCATGCTTCTACGGCAGTTTTCATGTAGTTTGCGGCCATTTTGTACAGGCCAGAGTGAGAGCCAATAGCTGGCTGCCATGAATAGGCAGGAAGATTCTATTGGCCAGCGTGAGAGCCAACAGCTGACTGACACGAATGTTAACTAGCATGCTAGCATGCAAAAAAAAAAAATCGATAACTGCATTCGTCACAAGTGGGAAAAATTTAAATCTGCATGGCACTTTACTCCAATTGGCTCATTCGCTTACCTAAACTCAACGTCGATTCTGATTCCGCAGAACTGGGTTGGGTGTGAAAAAGTATTTGTTGTTAAAATTCTTTTTTCATTCGGTTTTTCCAGTTACGAGTCCTTTTTTAAAGCTGATCGTTTTGTGTTCATTTTGGTTAATTCTTTTTACGTAACAGATTTAATGTTTAGTATAGAGCTTAGAAAAAATTAGCAGTGTGAGATAGGCAAGAAGTAAGGCATGTAGCAACATCAGCACGGCAAAGGGTACTCCTTTAAAGGCAAGGAAGGGCAAAAATATTTTATGTCAAGTGATAGCGATTGCTGTGTGAGTCGTACAATTTTTGAATCAAGCACGGGCACTAGTCTTAAATAAATCAACAATGTTTTGCGGCAAATTTTAAAAGCGACGTGAGATTTTTATTGTTAAAAAGTTATATAATTTTAACACATTCAACATTATGGATGAAAAATAGTGAATTTTATTTCGTGTTTTTTGCGCAAGTTAGTAGGAGCAAAGCAAATTCACGGAATTAGACGGAAAATGAACAGACATGAGAATGACGTCAGAACCCGCGAAAATTTGTTATCCTTTAATTAGTCAGTTTAATTTATTGAAACAAAACAAGTTCAGTTGACCATTGATGACAATTCCAGACCAACATAAGTAAAAACAATTTTTTTCTACCCTCTGCCAGCCGCAATGATGGAGAAAGCATTACCTCGAACCATGGCCAGTGAGACACGCTGGAAGAGCCACTACGTTTCGCGAGGCCATTCCCTTAATCGAGACGTAATCGCGCCAATCCTCCGAAGGAACACCATCGAATGAGGTCCAATAATCCCTGAAGTCTCCACTGTCATAGTAGTAAAAAAAAAAAAACGCTATCAGCCAGAGAAGAATATTTAACTATATTTTTCATCTTTGCGTCCCGGGCGACGGATCCTGGCTCAACCGCGGAACTGATCAAATTAACGACCGAAGATGTATCCGCACAGTCTGTTTAATGTGTAACTTATTTAAATGTAGTGATTTTCTAAGCCCAGCTTAGATGTGGCATAAGCCCGAAATTATGGGGCACCTAGTGAGGATCGAACTCACTACTCAGTCGTAATTGATCTAGCAAGACAAGCTTTCTAACCATTACACCACATCGAGGTGCCCAACGTATTTAAATGTAGGTAGAAAAAAAAATCAAATGTTGTTAAGATAGCAAGGGTCACAAAGCGCTGCCCGGGGCGCCTAATCAGGCTTACCAGTCGGGGATTCAGAGTTAGTATGTACCGGCTCTGCCTATATCGGCCAAAATCTACTGATATAAAGACGGAAGAATTTCATTTTGAAATCCCAAACATTTCTGATGGTAAGTTTCTCTCTTTCTTTCTTTTTATGTGTCATGTCTTTTCAGGACGTAGGCGATCATGGCTCTCCACTTCTCCCTAGCCCTTGTAGCTCTCAATATGTTCCATCACTCTGCCACCTCCCTCAGACCCTGTTCTGTCATCCACTTGCTTAAGCCCGCCAGGTATGTCATTCATTGGTTTCCCTTGTCTCTCTTTCCCTCTATCCGACCTGTGAGTATCAGACTCTTCAAGCCGTCCTTTCTCATTACGTGTCCCAGAAACTTCAGCTGTCGCTTCCTGATGTTAAGTATAAGACTCCTCCTTGTTTGAATCCTCTCCAAGACCTCAACGTTCCTCACCCGCTCGGTTCATGATATCCTTAGCATCCTTCTGTAGAACCATACCTCCATTGCCTGGAGTGTCTTCTTCATCTTTGGGGAAACCGTTCAACATTCGCTGCCGTAAAAGAGGGCAGATGTCACGTGACAACCCAGCACTCTTTTCTTTGTTACCAAAGAAATCGTCCTGTCTCTCAATACTCTGCCCAGCTTTTGGAATGAGCCGTTGGTCATCCCAATATGTATACGACCTGCTCGAAAGTCGATGAGAGAAGAAAAAAAATTAGAGAGATGAGGATACTCGTCGAAATCATTCACGGAAGAACAATAATAATTCGATTTCAAAATTTCTATGATGAAGTACAAAGGCGAAGGGGGACTTAGTTTAGTTTAATGTGAAACGTATTTAAATGCATATATAAAAAAAAATGTTAAGATAGCAAGGTCACAAAGCGCTGCCCGGGGCGCCCAATCAGGCTTATCAGCAGGGGGTTCGCAGTTAGTATGCACCGGTTTGGCCTATATTGGCCAAAATATGATATAAAGATGGGAGAATTTGATTTAGCAATCCCAAACATTTCTGAAGGTAAGTTTACCTGCTCGAATAGGTGAATGAATGTGTTGATGCGCAGAAAGGCTGGAAATGACCTGAGGAAAATCAAGGCTTCTGTTAACGTCTTGAATACGCGCTGGGCACAGAGTCAGTGAAAGGGTCTCATGCTGTCCCGAATGTGTGATACCCGCTCCCAATCTATAATACATATTACACCCCCAACACTCTACTACATCTCAGTTGTCATAAGATTTTATTCATCTAAAATACACATTTTATTCTAACCTAATTATGAGGCACGTTGGAGTAATGGACCGGGTTGAGGAATCGGAGAACCAATTTCGAATCCAAGTCAAATCTATTACGGGCTAATACCCTTGGGAAAGGTATGAATCTTCTTCTTCTCCCCACCCCCTCGGACCGGGTTCTATAGCCTTGGATGGCAACTGGTTTACCACAAAAATAAATATCAACTTACTACTGGAAAATAATCTACCTCGTCAGTCATGTATTGAAAGATACATGATCGTTTATGGCACTGAATTATGTACAAATCAATAAAAAAGACACTTTTCTTCGTAATTGCTAATTTTTGAAAGAACTAGGGTATCTTGCCCCTGTAGAATATACGTTATGACCCCTAATTTACTACATATGAATACTATCTCATGAAAATTGAATTTTCGTAAGGTAGTATTTATATAAAATGCAAATTTTATTCTAACTTAATTATGTACAATAATGGATCACATGCAATATAGGTGAATAATTCAACTAGAAAAATTGGAAATAAATACAATGTATCTAAATCAGGCATGTCCAAAGTCCAGCCCAGGGGCCAATTATGACCCACAGTCAAATTTCATATGGCCCTCATCCTTTGTCATAGAATGTATCACTTACGGCCCCCGACAATATTGTCAATCAGAGTAAGTAATCAGAGCATGTATTTTAAGGCCATATGAAATTGGTATTAGATCCCATTCTAAGGACAACATTAGCTACTTCAACCCACTGGCTTATGATTCTATCACTAAAATCAGGGCCGGTGCAAGTGGCCCCCTCATGAATCTATGATAGGGGGGGTCCTCACCTCTGCTACATATCAATTTTCATAAGGTAGTGTTAATATAAAATAGAAATTTTATTGTAACCTAATTATGTACAATACTGGATGCAATATAGGTGAAGAATTCAACTAGAAAAACTGAAAATATATAAAATGTATCTAAATACATATTAGAGACCTGTCATAATAGATCATTTCATGTTTTGCGGCAATTTTTTAACATCGATCTGAGATTTTTATTGTTAAAAAATTTGAATAATTTTAGCATATTCAACTTTATGGATAAAAAATCGTGACTTTTATGTCGTGCTTTTTCTTTTCGAGACTTAGCCTGATGAAACCAAATTCACAGATTTGGACGATAAAAAGAATATGACCCCAGAATGACGTCAAAATCCGACAAAATATTACATCCTTTTATAGTCAGTTGTGCTAAGGTTAATTCCCCTCTCCAAGTTCACTGCCATAACCGGGTATTGAACTCACACTCTTTTGGTCCTGTCACTGGATCTAACTAATGCCTTTATCCATTGTGCCATGTGTCCTTGAGGACCCAAAGAGTGTGAGTTCAATACCCTGTTAAGGCAGTGAA